TTCTCGCCTTGCGGTTGCCGCAGCAAACGTCCCCTGGCCCTGTTTTGCGCCGCATTCGGGACCACGAACTCCGCGAGCTCGGGCGCGGCGCGGCGCCCGGTGGGCGCGCGGGGCGCCGGCGCGCAGAGGCCGCGCCTCCATCTGCAAACGACTCCAACCTGGCTGGGTTTGCGCACTCGCGCGCTGTGTCGAGGGGTTCCGGGGTCCCCCGAGAGGCTGGACTCAGGATTCGCACCATCAAGGCCCGGCTCAATCACTTTCTATTATTTATCTCATTTCGTTCTTTGTAGTAGAAGTCACGGTCCCTTACCTTTTGCCTTACCGGCCTGATCTGGGAACTCCTGGCCTCGCGCCGAGCCTCCGCCTCGGCCTCCCTCCCGAGTAGCCCGGGCGAACCAGCGCGTGCGCCACCACGCCCGGCGTCGTTTTTTTCTACATATATTTTTAGTCCGTCCAGCTCATTTTTTTTATTTTTTTCTTCTTTTCAGCTAGGAGGACGGGGTCCTCACTGTTGCCTCCAGCGCTGGCCTCCAACTCTACCTCGGAGCGAGCCCTCCGCCTCGCCTCTCCAGAGCTCCCCCTGGGGTGAACCAAGCCGGCGTGAGGCCCTCCGCGCGCCGGCCTGCCACCTGCATGAAGGTTTTTCATTCCATTTTTAAGTGGGACCCAGTTTCCTTTCTTCTTTTTTTTCTTCTCGTTAGGAAAGGGAGAGCGGCCGGCGCGCAGTGGTGATTGAGGCTGGGCTGATCCCGTGCACCGAGATTCTAGGACAGCCGAGCCACCGCCGTTCGGGAAAAGAGAATTGGGCCCGAGGGGCACCATTCGGTCGTCACACCACCCCAACCCAAGAAAGAGCCACCCGAGCCACCAGTATTTGAAAGCAAAAATGGGTTAATCTCTCCACTTAATGTGTGTTTAGATGTACAAGTATAAATGCCTGCACAAACAGTAAAAATACGAATAGCCGTGTTCGTACACATCTGCGGGGCCGGGCCACCGCGGCTGGGAGGGGGGTCAGGGGACGTGCTCCCCCAAGCTGTGACCGTCCATAGGGGTCACTCTTGTGTTCATCTTTTTTTTTTCGGGTACCGGATTCCGGAGGGGAGGCCGAGGAGCGTCGAAGCGACAGCCTCATCGTCGCCCCCGCCGCCGTCTTAAAAATATCTTTTTGTGGTTTTTCTCTCTTTTCTGTCCTCTGCGCGTAAACTCTAGGGACTTGAAGTTCGTGTAGCACCAACAACCGTGAGCGGCGGGTTGGATTTTTGGAAAAGGGGACCCGGGCTCCTGGGGAGTTGTCACTGGCAGCGTCTGAGGACTGGCTTGAGGGTCACGGCGGGGTGGTTGTGTGGGTCTTGGGGACACCCCCGGTCCCCTCGTGCAGGCGGTCACTGCAAGGCGGGGTGGGCAACGGGGACGGCGCGCCGCGTAGGGAGACTCGAGGCGTATATGACAGAGCCAGGTCCTCCCCGCAAGCACAGGGCGGGAGAGCTGAGCCGTCCCAGCTCGCCTGAGACCCGGGTCACCACACACACACACAACGTGCAGGGGTGGGGCGTCCAAGGTGCGCCAATACAGCAGCGGCCGTGCCCCTGACGGCGGCGGGGGGGGGGCGATCCCCCAATACACAGTCCCTCCGCTGCCACCCGCCGCCAGCGCCCCAGCCCGTCAAGGTCTCAGCGTCGATTTCCGGAGTGGTCCTGGCGGCGCCGCGTGCGCGAGAACGGGGAAAGCGGCGCAACCTGCAAAGGCGACAGAGCCAGCGGAACTGAGGCCCAACCCTGCGGCACCCAAGCGAGGCGAAGAGGCAAGTGGGAGGAGGCAAGAGCCGAACTCATAGTAAACAGAACGACTGCTAAAGTGCCTTGCGGTGGACACGCGCTCACCACCACCCACCCTACCCGCTATCGCTTTAGTCCCTCCATCGGGGCGGTCCCCGCCGGCGCGCGTCTACGGTGGGGTTTGGATTCTGGAGACGAGGGCCAAGGGGTCCGCCACCCCAGGAAGCAAAGGGAAGGCAGGCCGACATCCCAGGGGAAAGACTTTTTTTCGTGTGGCGGGGAGCGGGGGGAGGGACATTGGGACATGGGGGGAGGTACAACCGACGGCGCAGCCCGCCCCAACCCCCTCGAGCCTTGTCGTGTCTCACCCCCGTCAGTCACCCCCTCTGGAGCCACCAAGACTGCCCTGAGTCAGCGGCTGCCATCGGCAACGCGGAGCCCCTCCCACCGGCGCGGCCTGGGCGGGCTCCCGCGTGACAATACGCGGTCTCCAAGTCCGGCTCACGCGATGCGTGCGCAGGGCCGTTTTAGAGATGGCGCGGGTGTAGCTTGGCGGGGTTTTGGGCGTGGCGGCCACCCCACTTCTCAGCCTGTCCCTTAAACAGCCCAGCGGTTGGTGGAGGTCTTGCTAGGTACCCATCCCAAACAAAAAAAAAAAACCCACGTGATTTTCCAGAAGTCGGGGTGGGGGTGGGGGCGCGGGGCGCTGCGCGAACATTGGGAGGGAGGTGCCCGGAATGGGCGGGAGGGGTGTCGCGTGCTTGTCGTGACAAGGGACCACGTCATTTAGAAAACGCGTTAACAAAAAAGGGCAAGCGGTCGCAGCAGCGGGAAGCGGCCTGGCGGGCCGGGGGGTACTGTTGCCTGAGATCCTAAGTTGTTCAACGCCTCTGCAGTTTTTTTTTTGCTATTTTTTCGTACAAAACCAAAAACGATCAACTCGGCTACCACGCCTAACGCACGGGCATCGGCACGTCCTGCAGCGGGGGAATAATATATATATATATGGCTCTCGCCGCGAGTTCGAATCCCGGGTTGGGAAGTTGTGCAGTTGTTGCCCTGAAGGAGAAAAAAACAAAAATTTTTTTAACGACAATTTAAGACAGTTCAGGCAGCGGCGGGGTGAAAGCAATACCAAACGGTGGCTGGTATATATATATGGCTCTCGCCGTGAGTTCGAATCCCTGGTTTGGAAGTTGTGCAGTCGCTCCCCTGAAGGAGAAAAAAACAAAATTTTTTAACGACAATTTAAGACAG